TGTGGTTGTAGGGTCCCTGCGCAGCTGAGAACCTGCCTAATTCTCACCTGTAAGAAGAAAAATGGATTATTTCCTCAAAGATGAAGAAGAGATTCGAGGCGACGGAGATGTTCTACAGAAGGATGCTAAGGATATCATATATATAGCATTCGAGCAACGATGAGGTCTTAGATTACAAACTAACTTATACTTAACATAAGAAAGAGACAGCTGAAGTTTCTGGGACACATAATGAGGAAGGAAAGCCTGGAGAATCTGATACTCACGGGTCTAACAGAGGGAAAGAGAGACAAGGGAAAGCAATGCGTGACATATCTGACGAGGTTGAGCAGGTGGATGACAGAACGTTGTCTGGGGGAGGAAGCAGAGGGAAGGGGGTTGCTGAGAGCTGCAAAGGACGAGGAAGGTGGAGAGCCATGATCGATACATAAAAAGAAAACGAAGAAAAAAACTTCACTGTTACAAATCACCACTGTGCTTCACCACTCTGGACAACGTTCCAACAGCACAACAGTCACCAAGACAAATTCTCCCGGTATAGCGTCTTTTGGGATTTTTATTGCCTCAGGCCGCCACCGATTGTCCAAAGAACCAGCCAATGCGAGCATTATATCAAACTACTGCTGATTGTCCAAAGAACCAACCAGCCCGCGCATTATATCAAAAACTGCTGATTGGCCAAAGAACCAGCCAATCCGCGCATTTGTGCTGATTGGTTGAAGAACCAGCCAATCCGCGCATTATATCAAAATACTGCTGATTGGCCAAAGAACCAGCCAATCCGCGCATTATATCAAAATACTGCTGATTGGCCAAAGAACCAGCCAATCCGCGCATTATATCAAAATACTGCTGATTGGCCAAAGAACCAGCCAATTGGCATTATATAAAAGAACTGATTGGCCAAAGAACCAGCCAATCCGCGCATTATATCAAACTACTGCTGATTGGCCAAAGAACCAGGCAACCGGCGCAGGGAATCTGATTAAAAACCAAGACACTTTAACACTCGCCGTCCGCAACCTCGAGACAAGTGATCCTTCTTCTTGAGTTTTGCAAAAAATGCATCCAACCCTAAGCCTTATTGTCCTCTGCGGTAGTCCACTACACTACCACACACCTGGGATGAAAGCCAGAGTGTCATCCATTCATGCACAGTGTGTCTTGGGTATCTAGACCCTTCAGGTCTAACCACAGTCGACAACCTCCAACCTGAAGGTTCGCCTTGGTCACGGACATGTGGCCGTTTGTTCCATCTGAGAAACAGACCGTTATCTAAAGTCTAGGAAGACCTCCTCCTGAGGATGCTGTGTCATCACTGGCAGCATAGATATCTAGAATGCCAGTCTATTCTATTGTGCTAGATAATGGTTAAACCTTCCATCCTTTGACAAGTTTTTTTTTATCCTACTAGCAACGTCCTCATAAGAAAGATCTGGTGGGTGAACCGATTTAGTCGCTTATGGCCTGATCCTGCAGCAGATTGTATTGGGTTACATGATACCGGTAACAATTGTCGTTTTACATGGTATAAAGTTATGGTCATTAAGCTGCTGATAATATATATCCCAGAAGCACCATCACACATCCTCTGCGGCTTAAATAGAAGAAGCCTTGCAAAGACGTTTGACAGTGGGAATGATTGCCGTATTTTCTCCTTCTGAAAACGTAAATTCTATGACAACTCTGTGTTTTCTGCGAGTATCTAGAGCAGTGGTTCCCAATCGATTTTGGGCCATGCCCCACTTTGGGATTTCTAAAATTCTGCTGCCCCCCCCTCCCCGCAACCTGTAATATTTTATTCTTACATATTCAAAATTCTACTGCAATTCATGTGAAGCAAGGAATCTGAATGTTCGTATGCGCTGATTGGCCGACAAAACATGGGCTCTTCCAGCGACATACATCACGCCCTCTCTTTTGTTGACCGTGACACGCAAGTGTGGGAAGACGGGAAATACACTGTATGCCAATTACACATGTACATACATACACAGAAAATATTTTTATTTATGCATAATGTATATGCATCGAATGTATTAACACACATTAACACTATTCACTCAGACTCACTAGAAAACAATTCACTGTTAATAACTCATTCTCGAATTGCCCCCTTTATTCTGTTGGTATAGTAAGCCGAAGGGTGCGCATCTTACACATGCCTCACCAAAATATTACCATGCCCCACCGGTGAGGTATGCGCCCCAAGTTGTGAATCTTCGATTTAGAGGGACAACCCTTTCGAAAGGTGGGAATGTAGAAGATAACTGCGCAAATTTTCTCTTCGTCGATTCATATATATATATATATATATTTTACCATATATATATATATATATATATATATATATATATATATATTTCCGTTGATATCGACACATGTGGGCTCAACAGTCGCAGTTTTAGAACGAAACCATCAAACTACTCAAATAGATGATTTTATAATAGTAGTGAAGGCACGTGTGCAACAATCCAAACTCTAGACAAACCGATAGCAT